GTTAGGGACGGGTTTTTTTGTTCATAGCAGAATTAGGGAAGCGGTTAAGAGAGTAGAATTTGTTAGTGACCGGTTGTCTTACGTAATTTTGGAAGGACGTTGGTGCGACATAATTGTCCTTAATGTTCACGCCCCAACTGAGGACAAAAGCGATGACATCAAGGATAGCTTTTGTGAAGAATTAGAATCAGTATTTGATACATTTGGCAAGTATCACATGAAAATTGTGTAACAGCACGGCCTTGAAGCTGAACTTCGACGAATCTATAAATAGTCGCCAATCTTTTGGAACATTTTCATAAGGCCGTTAATGTAATTACAATGGCATGTGCTTAAACTTCAAAACTCACAATTAAAGTGAGGTTATGGGACACTGCCAGTGTAGGCAACCTGCAAAAAAAATATCCCTATGGAATAAAGAAATTCACTCTGAGGTTTTCATAGCGGCGAGTATGAAGATTTCTGTCTTCTGGGTTGTTGCGCTGTGTAGTCTGGTCGATGTTAACCAACGTTTCAGAGGTCATACTGCCTCCGTCATCAGGGCGATGAATATTCATCAGAAGACAGAAATATTCAAGAAATTCACTCATCTGGTAGACGTTAAGACAAAATTGCACAAAAATGGTAAGCGATGGAAAATTTTCAAGGCCATATTTGAATTTTGCGCAAAAAATACAATACGAAACACATATTTTCATCCATGTTACCGAAACATTGTTGGCCAGTGTTCTCCATTCGGTTCACTGATATTTCTGGGCCGGGAACATAGAAACACTGGGTGACAGTCGCCGTTGAAGCGAGAATCTTAGAGTCTTACAGAAGCCAGTACTCATCCCGCAAACGGAATATCGACTACTCAAAAAATCACTCGCCTCTCAGCAAAATTGAAAAGTTTCCGGGAGGTCAGTAACCTCAATGTTACGGCCGTATCGACCATCTTGCTCACGTGACCTGTCTGTCCGTCTGTCCACACTCAAACAAGACTTAGCAGAATTTGTCTTTGAACTGTTCCGCTAAAAGAAGGAAATCAATATACAAGAAAACAAATACGTTCTGAGAAAAGCATAAGATGTCACTTTGCTTCGAATGCTTCAAGAATCTACGCACGGGCTAGGATAAATTATGAATCAATAATCGTACGAGTTGTAGAGCTGTCACAGCAGACTGAGGGCGTTGGACAACAGGGAGCTGAGGTGAAAATCGCGTGTTTCAAAACGGAAGCCAGGGGATGCGGGTTATGATAACGAGAAAGAGAGAGTCACTTTCTCCACCAGATAGAAAGCGGGCGCTGCTGCCCGAACACCTCGTGTGCAAACTCGGAGACTGTACACGTCGTCTCCACTGCGAATGTCCAAATATTTTCGTAGGCACTTCGACTTCAAACACGACCAAATTCAGACTCGAACCGAGCACGAAGCTCAGCGCCTGATGGTTAGACAACATCTCGTTCACTCGAGTGTGGCAGGCGGACTACACGAACTATTTCAGTGTCCGGGTGTCCGCTATTGATAGAACAGCCAAGCCGTGGCTGGCAGATCGACTTCTGTGTGTGTCACCGACGGCAAAAAGTCGCAATTCTGATCTTGGAATTCGTCACCGGGTGTGCAACTAACAGTTCTGTTTGAGAAACCGATACTCCCTCAGTTGGTCAACAAATCTGCCGCCTTTTACGGAAGTAGAAGCCACGGTGGTCTAGCAGTTAGAACGCTGGAATTGTAATCCTGGGGTCTCGGGTTCGATTCCCGGCGGTGCCCGAATTTATAACTTGTGTTGGGCAAGGCCGTGGTCTAGGCAACACGGAGTTTTCCTCCGTGGCATCCCAACAATTACTCCATTCACACACAGAAGAAGGCAATGGCAAACCACTTCGGGATCATCTGCCAAGAACGTATAGGAACAGGTCCCAGTCCGACAAAAGGATGGAAGGATCCTGTTCATAAAGTGTCGCCAACCTCCTGTAAAGAGACGGCGTGATAAAGAAGGAGAAATAGGATAAAGCGCGGACAGGGTGAAACAGTTCTCTGTCCATACTTGGCAGAAAACTGTGTATGGATCTCCGTCGATTTAATTACTTAAGACACATTAAGAAAACGAGCTGTACTCGGTTCAAAACTGTAAAGGACCAGGCTTCTGTACGTCACACTCACTCGACACTAACGGACTAGGATTGAACCACACTCGCAGCATTTCTCGGCCTGACCACGGCAATATCTCAGCAGTGCTGCCAGTTACACAACGAAAATATTTCAACACTGTCACACGTTTTTTTAATGTCCTTAATGAAACGGGGAGAAAAATTAACAGCGACAGAATTTTCGTGGGGATTCTCTTTGAAAACGGGTATTTGGAAGACCAAGAAGTAGATCGGAAGGCAATATTAATTAAGATGGATCTCAGGCTGTGATGTGGAGAATCGCGTTCAGTGGGAGGAATTTCGTATTTTGTGTTGAAACTTCGAATTCTGTTGCCGGGGAAACTGAGATCTGGGTTGATTTCAAAAAAAAAAAAATTCACAAATTTCGAAGCTTCCCATTACCTGATATCCGTTCGGTCCACTGCATTCGGGCACCCTAAATCTTCAGAATCACCACAGCACTGAGCATAAGTCACCGTTCTTTACCTTCAACCGAGTATCATCGTGACAGGCGCGGACAGACTGACAGCAACACACCGCACACAGCGCTCACGAGCGAACGGGGACGAATCGTCCTGCGCGATAGCAACTCTGCCCCCCCCCCCACCCAAATGGGCGCCGCGCCGGTCGATAAAACTCACTTGTCATCGATATCTACGTCCGATTTATTTACTCCTTTGTCATCTTGGTGATGCGGGGTGAGGGGATACGTAATTGTCTGATTAGACACGTCGGTATTACAGCTCTCTGCGTTGCTGTTCCGTTGTCTTCCGGTAGCATATGAGAGGACAATAAAAATTGGGACATGCAGAAATCATTCTGGATGCAAGACGTGAGTCAAACTGGAAGATCCAAGTGAGAATTAGGGTTCTCAGGGCGACGAGTATGAAAATGGTTGTGTTCTGTTGACTGAGGCTGCAGTGGTGCCTCAATCATCAGGAGATGATCACCAACGCTGATCCCGTCTCATTCTCATCCCAATTCAACGATGAAAGATCTCGATCGCTGAACGATTGAAGAGGTAAAATTCTCCGAAACGTCGGTCGATATCAGATTACACTACGCAATATCACAGACGACAGCGATCTTTCAATGAAGAGTCAATTTTCCACAAGACATCGACGTAAATCATTGCACAATTATTTCCACATTTATCACACTCACGTTACTTTGGGCCCCTCAACAGAGTGTCCGAATAGAACCTCGTATCATGAGACGGGAAGAAATACTACACGCGAAACACAGCGAGTCAGCGTGACGTCACCACAACGCGGTCCCATTACAAGCCACAGGCCTAATTAAACTGCGTCATGTCGTATCACAGCGGTGGCCCCTCTACGCTGGATGTTCATTCCATGTGCACAATAACGAAGAATTACTCAAAACGGAAATTTTGAATTCTCAACTGGAGCTAGACGTCTGTAGAGTCTGCCAGTTTCTGTTGTGCGCTGATAAAAATTATTTTAAAAGTGAACTCCCCCGTGCAAAATGGAATCGTTATGGACCATTATTATATATTTAGTGTTCTGTCTGAAGACAGGTCCATATGAACTGGATCCTTCCATCCTTTTCTCGGACTGGGACCTGTTCATATACGTTCTTGGCAGATGATCCAGAAGTGGTTTGCCATTGCCTTCTTCTGTGTGTGAATGGAGGAATTGTTGGGATGCCACGGAGGAAAACTCCGGGGTGCCTAGACCACGGCCTTGCCCAACAAAAGTTATAAATTCGAACCCGAGACCCCAGGATTACAAGGCCAGCATTCTAGTGGTTTGCCATTGCCTTCTTCTGTGTGTGGATGGAGTAATTGTTGGGATGCCACGGAGGAAAACTCCGTGTTGCCTAGACCACGGCCTTGCCCAACACAAGTTATAAATTCGGGCACCGCCGGGAATCGAACCCGAGACGCTCAGGATTACAAGGCCAGCGTTCTATCCGCTAGACCACCGTGGCTTCTATGGAACCATTACGCACCAAAATGTAATTTCGTCTACGCACTGACGAAAGTTGCAGATGAAACACGTGGGCAGACGGACACGGTCTCCGAATTATTATCACTGACGGGGGAAAAACACACTAAATGTGAATAATTTCTGCAGTTCTGTGAGTCCTCTGATGCTGTAACTAACCGTGTCCACCTCATTCCGGTGATGCACATGTTTTTACTGCTATCACAGGTTTAATCATAATCGACAACCGATCTGAGTCCTGGGGCAGTTTCAGTTCCCTCGAACAAGATGGGGGATTCACCGCAAAACAAATGCTGTCAGCGCTAATGCAACAAGACGGGGCTCCCACTGGGGTACTCCTTACTGCGTCTAACTGAGACATCGTTTCTGTTTTACGATGACGATGCTTGTATTTTAACATACAGACTACAGTGAGGCTAGCAAAAACATACACTAATAATAAATTCTCTCGGTGGGTCATTTGTGTGCAGAATAATAAAGATGCCCACTACATTAAGACCAGATAAGATCTTAAAAAGATCCATACCGTCGCCATATTTGTAATTATTAAGATACGTAAAATGCTTTGTGCAGAATGTGCGTTTCTTACGCCTAGCCACAATATTTAATAAATAATCATAATCAAAAGAAAAGCAAATGTAGATTTCGCTCGCAGAAAAAGAAATATTTTCAAATTCCTCACATTCTTTATCTGATAACTGACTCCTTCTTGAGAAGCTGATAGCTGGTCAGCTGGCCAAGAAATCAACCGCCTTTTATGGAAGAAACACGAGCAGTCGCCACTGAGTCACGTCATAAAACGCTCGAGAAGCCGCCACTGATCTCAATACACTGGAAGGAAAATGAGACCCCACGAGCGCGAACGAGCCGCCACTGATCATGACGTCTCGTGTGTCACAAGAACAGTTGAGCGTTGTGCTCCGGGAGGGAAGGGTGTTTTGGCCAGCATCAGCATCTCAGTTCTCAGTCAGCGACGAAACGGGAAGGATTAGCGCGTCTGGGAGGAGAGGCGCTTGGCAAAACGCGATACGACGGAATCTGCTCTTCAGATGTTTCGTCATGAAACATCTTGCAACCCGATGAGAGTTTATTGTCGAGAAACAGTGGACAAGGCCTGGGGAAGAAGAACAGTGTTCAGATTTGCAGCCGTTCCGATAGGATAAGACCGGAAATGAATGTCAGTTCGCGAAACTTCGCGTAAGAGTCAGGTTGACCGGAGGACACCTGAAACAGTGCCAAAGAGTGGTGTTAAATTTTGTGTAAAAGGAATGGAAATTACCACAAATTACTACAAATGTTGTTAGATACGAGAACTGTTGAAAAATTTTCAGTGCAAATTAAGAAACGCAGATATTAAAAAAAAAAAATGCAGTGAATTTTAGTGGTCTCAAGTTTCGCCCAAGACCGCGTGAGTTTTCGTCTCTGGAACTGCGACTAACCAGAAGTTTCCCGGGTATCGCCTCCGTGTATGGCCCCTGGGAAGGCTGGTCCCATGGCGTCGCTGGCCACCATCGACACGAGCTCCTCGATGTACGCACCCACACAGCTACTGAACTGGGTGTACCTGACGCTGGCCGATCAGAACGGTGCACCGACTTCTGAACAAGTCCCGGTAAGTTTCGTCACGGCTTACCCAAAAACACGTGACCCGTGGAGTGTGTTTGTGCCCGAAACAAAGCTCTGTTTGACATCCAATTCCCGAAACGTCGTTTTGATTTAAAACATTTATGACGATGGATTAAGTGTCTAATTATTTTCATGTTTATGGCAACACGTTATCGGCATAGAAGTTTAAACTCGACTTGAAATTAGGAAGGTTTCTTCAGGGATTAAATTCATATGCGTGGAATACTAGCATCTTGCTTTGTTGGTTCCATTTACAGAAAGTATGCACCGAAAGGCAGAAGAATCTGTATCTGCAATGCCCCGGGGGGCACTTTCAGTTTTAAACTTGGGGAGATAAGGGGTCCGGGCCCCAGATACAGAAAAACGTCGCTTCTTGTAGGAATTGAACCTGGGTCATTCAATCCGTAGTCAAGCATTTTATTTAACAAACGCTATCACAGTTAATGTGTGTTCCGGTATCAAACCCAAATGTGGGGGGCATAGCCCAATTCGTATCCTCACACCCAACCTTTGAAAATCTAATTTTTATTTATTTTTAATCTTATCCGTACGGGACTAGGTTCAAATCTCCTCCCTACAGACAAACGCCGTTATAAGGCCTTACGTCACGACCGCTTCCTGTCATATCCTTCCCAATCCACATAGTTCACTAACCATCGAATCTTTCGACGCTGTTTTGTTTGGGGGTACTCGCAGAACCACCAAATGAACCGCGAATAATATATAAATAAATTCTGAGCGCCACGAAACTGACGGACGGTCACTCAAGTCGCAAGATCATCCCGCCGATGAAGCTATGAAGTGCTGGCAAGTTGTAGCCTCACCGATGCTATTTATAGTTTTGTTTCTTGCTGTTCGTGTAAACAAGTGGCGTTCACTTGTTCCCCTGCACACATGCGACAGCAAATCATCTGTAGGGGCAGACACACGAAGTTGTCCTGTGCCCAAACACCCACCACGGAGACGAACACTCTCCTCTCTACTTCCACTCCAGTTCTTTGACGTTCTTTCTTTTCTCCATCTGCGGGCACCCCCCCCCCCACTCAAAGGGCACAGACCCCACGAGGACCCTCTAAACGGGAGACTGAGTAGAATGAATGGACCAGACAGCGAAGTGGCAAATCACGTGACAGGTGGCTTTGCTCGAATTAATATCTCACTAATCCGACACTTCAATAAGAGTTTAATTTCTAACGGCGATGATTTTGAAAAAAATGACTTTTCCCCCTTCGATGATGGAGGCAGTTCGCACCCCCTGAAACGTCGGGTAAATTTTTACGCGAAACATCCCATGAGAAAGAAATCTTCAAATCGCTCATATTTTCCTTTATAACATCTGTTATGGTGGGACAATTACACGAAGTTCATTTCAGACTCAAGACGGAAGTTTTTCGGCGTCAAAGATCACGGGAGTTTTCAGCTTGTGAGTTGGCAACAGAATTACCGCCGTGATTCGTGCAGGACAGAATAATCATCAAAATATCGTTAAGGCGCGCTCTTAAAAACCACAAATGAATAGTGAATTTCAAATCTAAGATTTCATGACGTTCGACTAGGGCCTGTGGGCATGTGAGGGTGGTCGATGTTCATCTTGTGGATTGTGGCGCAACGCCGTCTCGACTTGCAGGTAGACACCGACTTTTCGGAGAGAAAAAAATGTGTCCATCTTCAGGGCCGACGTCTGAGCCCCAGAACATCGACGGCCTGTAGTCAGAATAAAGATTTCAAATTCTGGCTGTTCACACCCTCGAATTAGAGCTCAAACAAACTTTCAGCATTGATTTGAGCAGTTTGAATTTTGTGTTATATTTGACTGGGATGAACATGAAATACACTCGACCACTCACATTTTCAATTTCGGACGAAACGTGGCCCGACAGACATCGGTGTATGTCCCATACAAAATAAAACACGCGGACAGACTTTCCTAACTCTGATGATACCACCTGAGCCGCGATTTCAAATTATAAAACTGACCGTGAAGGTTTGACAGTGCGACCAACGGAGGATTCCCCACCCACAGCTTCGCAATGTCACCAAAACAAGTATACATCTGAGTCAATAGAACGCAAGGCTTCAGAGCCCAAACGATTCGCTTATCTGAACTTCACAATGCATTTTATTGACCATTTCACAGGCCTGCAGTGAGTGTCGACGTTTCTGTGTTACCTTCAACTGCGCCCGCCCGCCATCTTCGTATTATCAGAAGCATAAAGTGATATAAAAGAGTGGACTGGCAATCCGTTCCCTGGAAATGCGAGGTAAAGGGAACTGGATCTGCGTCCCGGGTCGCTATGAAGATTATTCGCCCAGGAATGCAAACATAGCAACGGGTGTCGGATGTAGCTATTCCCCACAGCCCAGGGCTGTCCTGGAGGCAGGCCGCAGTCAGTACGTCCCATATAAATAACAGAATATTCTCTACACGGTTGGGGAAAAAAATGTGAAAGCCATTTGTCCGCAAATCCTGTAATTCAGTCCAAACCCTGGGCAGACAATAGCTGATGCAACCCCTTAAGCACAACCTTTATATTCACTCGGCTGAGGACTTGGTGCCCGGGGTTCGATTCTTTACAGGGGCAAAAACTTTTTCTTTGCAATCTACAACTGTGTCCAAAATGACTCTGGGGCCCGTCCACTCGAAGTTGACACCGACGAAAGGGGTCTTTTACCAAGGTACACCCGCGATTCACCTTTGTCTTGTGCCTAGGTTAAGAATGCATGTTAAGCGTCCCCTACACACTTTTGTACCATGGTGCTTGGTCACAGGGCAACCGAACGATTATGAACTTAATTATGGCGAAAACTTAATGTGACATTCACAGCTCGCAATCTCTCCAGAACGCGGCCACTGGCCGTGCCCCTTGATTTGAACAATATGAGAACCAAGTTTGGTTTGGATCTGTCTTCATGCTTCGGTAAAAACATTCCCTTGGTGTAAACACGAACGTTCAAACACAAATTCCTCAACCAGTACAATCCACTCCATACTTTAAGTGCCTATTTCTCATATGATTTTTTTAATATTATCCTCCCATCTATGCCTTATCACTGAGATCGTCTCATTCCTCGATTTCCGGACCAAAATACGTGCTTTGCCGTCTAAACGTCCCTGATTTAATAATATTATGTTAAAAGCGAAGCTCCTGTTGCTTAGACAAACCAAAGCACGTGGATATGTGAGCCCCGCCCACTGCGTCACGCCCCTGACGCGTGCTTACATTTTAAGGGCGGGTTTACGGATTTCACGATGATCCGTGCGTTCTCAAGTAAATCCCAGAAGCTCTCGTCGGCGATACCGAGGAGGAAGTTTGTGTAGAACGCAGAGATGACCGAGTTTACACGTCCGTTTGGCAAAGTTCAAATACCGTATCTGAATGGGGATGCGACTCGTAATGGTTCCTCACCTCTCCACTGTGCAGGCAAATCTAAATTAGATTTCCGTCTTCTGGGTTGTTGCGCTGTGTAGTCTGGTCAATATTAACCAACGTTTCAGAGGTCATACTGCCTCCGTCATCAGAGTATGAAGATTTCTGTCTTCTGGGTTGTTGCGCTGTGTAGTCTGGTCGATATTAACCAACGTTTCAGAGGTCATACTGCCTCCGTCATCAGAGTATGAAGATTTCTGTCTTCTGGGTTGTTGCGCCGTGTAGTCTGGTCGATATTAACCAACGTTTCAGAGGTCATACTGCCTCCGTCATCAGAGTATGAAGATTTCTGTCTTCTGGGTTGTTGCGCCGTGTAGTCTGGTCGATATTAACCAACGTTTCAGAGGTCATACTGCCTCCGTCATCAGAGTATGAAGATTTCTGTCTTCTGGGTT